TGCTCTTTGGTAGGGTTGTTGTCTCTTTGACATACTAGTACTACCCATTTCCATTCTCAATTGTAAGTCTTTATTTTGACAAGGACCCAGAACTCCCGCAATTGAAGGAGAACTCTGCAACGAGAGTATCAAGGTGGTAGGTAGGATTACTCCACTTTCCACTTGAACATTAGAATAGAATCATCAAATCACAACCTCCGTTTGTCATTAAATGTTAAATGTTTGATTTCCACAAAGAAACACACCCATACTGTATTTCTTGTCCCTAAGCATCATTGCTTCAAACTCGTTGCATATCAGATGTAAAATCAGCAAACACCTTTATCAAAATTAACAGAAAAAGACATTGTGTAACTAGGTCGATGCCATTTCTGATGGGCGTTTCGCCTCCTTTTGTGATGACATGAAATATTATGTTCATTTTCTGAAAATCTCGTTTTTTTAAAGGAATTGTTCGAAACACTGATGCTTTTCTATCACCAGGCATAGATTGTCTTAGTCGTTTTTATTTAATTTTCAGCATGGTTTCTTGATGTGTTTTTGCGGCATGTTTTGCGGGTAGATTTATTGAAACTTCAAATCGAAAGAGAATACGCAATAACGAACCTAATAGTTGTAGCATTTGAATTCGAGGTTCCCAAACAGAATAAATATACATTGATTTCTAAAAGTGTATTCAGGAAAGTTGATATCTAAATTTGTATTCTATTGATCGAATAAAGAATCTCATCATACATGCTTATATTCAATCTTTTTTGTTCAAGTAGTGCATTTTTCCCGAATAAACAAACAATGACCTGATGATGTTATGGCTGCACATACATGGAAGCATATATATAGCCATGGTGTGCGATTGACATAAAACTGCTTCAACAGAGTTCTGATGAAAAAACGTCTGAAATCGACACTGAATAATTTGTACGGTCGACATCACAAATTGGTTAAATGGTTATTCGTCTTTGTCTCAACTCACTAGCGGCATATTTTTTTTCACATATCCAGTCAATAAGATACTAGAACAGTCATCTCATCTGTAAATTTTATCTATAGTTTTCAATTCTTGATTGTGACAATTTAACTGAGAGTGGATTCGCAGGGTGGTTGATGCATGGGTAACAGGAGACGTTTACTCTGTCGACGCATCCCATCCTGCTCCTTTTTGAGTTCATGCGATTCCCTCAGATTTTTTCACTTTCAAATCTGCTTAGGGCTTTATGAGATTTGAATAAAGGTAAACTACCGTTGCATCGAGCAAAAAGAATATTCGTGTGCAATTGAAATTTGTGGACAGAGTTTTTGTCTATCATTATAGATTTAAGAAAGGTAAAGATTAAAAAAGTTAAAACTGCCGGGAAACAACTTTTCAAAGGAGTAGTTTGACAATTCCAATCAGATTGACCTATTTGTAGATCTTGGTATTATATTTTTTTGATTTTTGCTGTAAACAGTTTTTGCTAAATTATTTACGATAGTTTCCACAAAGAACGCAAACATTGGTATAAATCATTATTAAGTGCAATAACTCTTTAAGGAGTCGACTGAAGTCCTCGGTCCGAATTATTTATTAATAGATCAATTTTGCTGGTTCTACTACCCTAAGGACAAAATCGTTTTCAAAGGCTATTAACTCTGATGATTTCGGCCATATTGAATATTTTGTAGTCTTCTTTTTGATTTTCTTGTTCATTTTTTCTATTTAAAGTTTCCCTTTAACTAATATAGTTTTCAAGATTATTGCCGAAAATTGTAAATATTGTCATTGTTCAAAAGGAAATAACTCCAATGAATAGAAGACAACATTTCGGTCACAATGACTTTTTTGTAGATCTTTTATTTTGTTGCTGACCTCTCTTGCAATTTAACTTTCCTTTGTATCTGTTATGCATGAGTCTTTAAAATAATAGTTAAAAACGCAAAATATTGATGAAAATGATTATTTAAGGGACATAACTACTAAAAGGCACCAACTGATGATTTATGTCCATAAACTTAACGCAAAAATAAGTTAAAACCGTCTTTTTAGGGTAATTACTCCTACAAGAATTTGACTGGCGAGTTCGGTCCTCCGTCAGTGTACTTAGTTGAAGATGTTATTCTTGCTGCTCACAGTTTTGTTCTATTCTAATTCCAATATTAGCGAAAACGGGCATTATCTCCTATACGGATTAAACTGACGATTTCGACCATGTTGACATATTTGTTCATCTTCTTTTGATAATCATTTAAACTGTTTACATGTTATATCTACCATATTTTTACACCAAATCCCACTAAAATGGGCAAAACCTTTATTTATTATCATATATGAAGTCGACTGACCATTTCGACGCCCATGTTAATTAATTTAAAAACATCATGTAAAGGTCAAACCTCATATAAATAGATGGGGAGGGGGGATGCAACTAGGTGGATACAAACATTAAAGGTACTGAACCTTCTGTTCGTTTTCGTCAAATTGAAAGTATGTCTTGACATTTTACACGTTTGCCTCTGATTTCGTTAGATTTTCTCTATTTATGACAGTTTGAAAGATGATAAACACGCATTCAAATTTACCCCTTTTTTTCTTTTTTTTCAGCCATGTGTTCCCTGTTAGTTTGTCGGCGGGTTCATTGGGGACAACATTTAGAAAAAAAACTCTATGGGCGATTATGGCCAAGTTTGTTTTCGATTAGGCTGGTATCTTCAGAGAATATCTTAAACTTGAAGTTAATAAAAGAAGAAGGACACCAAGTGATGGCCCAGATGAGCTTAAAAGAAAATGTCAATAGCACTGTTATCAAAGGATCGGAGGGAAAAAATCTTTTCCATATTCAAAGATTATCATGCAGGTAAATTAAATAGACGCTCTTCTGGGTAATTAGCATTGCACATACTGATTATTTTTAAAGTTGAAATAATCCTTACGATTTTTTATTTATTTGCACGGTTACAAATATATTTTCTACAAATAATTCCCTGAATTTCCTTCATCTGCAGGGGTGTAGCTACCTTCTTAATGAAGTGGAATCACAAACTAAAGGGCAAGGGGTCTGGGGGCCGCCTAAGGCCCCAAGTAGGTCCAGGACAAAGCCCTGGTAGGGGATCAAGGGCCCCCCGGAAGATCCGCATTTATAGCGTTTCAAAACAATCACAACCGTAATAAAACTTGTACAATTTTGTTGTGGTTTTTTGGTCAACTATATTTGTTTAACTTCGAGTCGAATGAAGACTAAGCATTGTCGTTTGCGTTTTGTGTACGCCTTGAGAGCTTTTAAAATCATGGAGATATGTTCCATATGCTAGTATTTGTATTGAGCAAAGTAGATGTATAAAAAAAAAAAAACAATAAACAAAACACAATACTATATGTGGAGTTTCTGTTAGAATAAACATCTTTGGATACCAAATACTTGGTGGACACATTCTCCAATATTTTGCTGAACATATGGATTTAAATGTTTAAAAATTCTGTGGGTAAACTCTACAAGAGATAGATAGGAATTTCTAATTTTACGCAGTTAGGAATTCTCGAAGTTGAAATTAATGAACTTTTTCAGAGTGAATGGTACTTTGATCACGATCTTTTCATGATCTGCGTTTGTTAATTATCCAGCTACATGATTAACAAATACATGTGCATTCGACCAGTTGTATGGCGGTATCTAGATGATAACAGTGAAGATACGTGTATCAAAAGTTTGATATTTCTTTCGAACAAGAATCAGCAGTTTAGTGTCCGACTCGGACAGAAAATTCATTATAAAATTGATTGACCAAATAGTCCAGTAAAACGAGTTAGAATTAACAATTTATTTAAATGTTTTTACAATCAACTATTCGTATAACCGGCCTATATAGAAACGACTTCGAATTATCGAATCTATGTACAAGATGTGTTTTGGAAAATAAATAAAAACGTAATACATGTACTGGAAAATGTGTACTTGCTTTATAATAACAGCAGTTCCAACTTCTCATTTATTAGTTTACAGAAACTATTGATTGATCGAATGGTTATTAATGTCCAGTAGCAAATATTACATGCACACCAGGACGGGAATACGTAAACGTGTTGTGAAAATGAAGTATTCGTGTTGTCAAGATTAACATACTTGGTCAATTTTGAACTAGTTCACAAGGTAACAGTCATTATTCCCGGATCGATACGAGTTGAAGAGTCTTCGTTCTAGTAAGATGTGTGTTTTGGGGCGAAGCGGAAAATACTAATTTTCAAGTTTTTTTGTTAACCCTAAAGGGATTATGTTGTTTTTTTGCACTCAAGGCGAGTATACGTTATGGGTGTGGTACCGACAACTATGTAGCTGTCCGTAATATAAAAAGTTCCGCCATGTTTACACCAGTTGTATGAATTTATCGTACACATACATGTCTTACAGGATTAAAATTTTTGCTGCATGTGTTTTCCTCTTGCTCTTATTCTTTGTGTTGTTTATAAAATGCATAGATAGAAAGACTAATTCCTATAAGTTAACTTTGTCCCTCTCTCTCTCCCTCTCTTTATTTTTTTTATGGTGAAAACGATGTGGATGCACGTGCTGTCATGCCTCCAGGTAGCTACGCCCCTGAATCTGTAGTACAATGTAGTAGTTAACTTCCCACAGTAAACGATTTATACACGATAAAACATCAATAAAGTTTGCAATATTTCCATATAAACACATTCACCTTACGTGTTACGTATGTAATACATTATCCGATTTAAAGATTATTACAAAACTTACATAATTTAACTATTTGACCTTAAAGGGAGATATAGATATAAATGGCCTGTGATATCTTATCATCGGACTTTCTATTTACAAACTTATTTACAAAATGAATGCACATCATAAAATGACGTTAAGTCACAACATATATTTGAAGTTTTTTTCATAGCAAAGAAACGATTACATCATACAATAACAAAAACATATATACTATGAAAATGGACATAATAAGACAGTTTTGGAGTCCCATACAAACTACTTACACTATTTATAACGAAAATGTCGTCTTACCTATAAATAAGCCGAAGACATTCCTTTCCACTATACATACAATTGTTGTTCGAAGAGGTGCCAAGAATTGGATACCTGTAATAAACAGCAGAATTAAATACAGTGAGAGATTGATACTGTATATAGACAGCAACGAATCGATAGTTATTTTCCCAACGAAGCCTCCCTTATCATTTCGAATAATCAAAAGAAAATAAATTAGTGAAAAATTTCAAAAAGCCTTCACTAATTTACCATCAATACATTAACAGATGAGTTTAAGCAAGGCTTGCAAAGGAAGTGATGCGATAAAATAAGCAGTCTTTGTACATGTAGTATAATTCTACCAATCTTTTATCCCGTCGGTGCAAAGGTGACAGCTGTTATAAGTATGGCACGCGGGAATACTACAGTATTGGGGACTTTCCTTTTTGAATTTTCCTCGGAGTTCAGTATTTTTGTGATTTTACTTTTTACAGTAACATTTAAGACCGTAAATACTCCGCTATCATGAAATAAAGATTTCTCATTTAAACGAATTAAAAAAAAATCATGTCATCCTGTGTTAACTGATCCTTCATTCTAGTCTTTCAAAGATCGGTTTTTTGACGCTTGTTTGTAATACACACACACATACATGTATGCATAAATAACGAAAAAAGAAGCCGAACGTACTAACCTCAAACTACTTTCAATTTATAATTTTATCTTCACATGAGATAATTAGCGGCTGCGCCAAAAACGCATGATACAATCCTCTTTTGCATATTATATTTTTTGCGAGAGGGAAAAAAAAAGTAGGCATCTAATCGGTAAGTAATATGGTTCTGTAGAAAAAACTAGTGTGATTGTTAAATTACCATAACTCATAAGCTAAAAGATAGGTAAATCGAGGCGAGTACGTGAAGAGTTATTATCATGGTAACATTTTAAACCAATTTTACACAAGGTTCGTATTGCCTACTGTCCTCTTAGTTTTTTTTTATCAAGAAGGAAATAATATCATCATAGTCGTGTACTGTTCTTATTTTAATTATATTCTTTATTACTATTTATCCGAGCGTTTATTTTTGACTGTAACGTGAGTTAAATTTCTTAGTGTTTGCATGGGTGATAATTTTTGGTCACTAGATTTTATACTGACATTGTGAAATGAAGAACGACACTAAGAGCAATATTTCTTTTGCTTAGGGTTTTGTTTAGGATAGTGCGTGTAATTTTTATCATAAATTGATGAACCATATCCTGTGTTTTTTCTACGAGATTAATAAAACTAAATTACAGGAAAAATATATAAATCTTTATTGCAAAGAGTAAATTGTTGTAACTAGAAATGATCGTTGTAAAATTGAAATTAAAAATCCAAGTTTGACAGTTATATTATAGACAAATACTGATAATTCAGATACAGGTTTAAATCATAACAAAATTGCTTGGCACATTCTTGACAATTAACTACGATTTCCTTAATCATTTACATGACATACATGTACATATATGCGTCTTATAGTCATGATTGTACGGCACATAAACTTATACATTATTACGCAATTATAATGTAATATATCTTCAAGATATTATGGAGTGTAGCTGCAGAATATTTACTATTCTGTGTGTGTGTGTGTGAGTGTGTGTTAACCGCATGTGCATGTATGTTTACATTCCAGTGCAAAACACGAACGTCAATTAAGTTACGGTCGTGACTGTTTTCAAAGACAAACTTAAGTGCTATGTAAGTCGGAGAAAAATATCAAAATTGTTACTGTATGCAAGAAAGGGGAATAGAATGAATCTTTAAAAAGGTTACCATTTCCTGAAAACCTGTAGAATATGATGTTAAAATTCCTGTATAAAAAGTTATCGCAGAGTCGAATATGGTTTCTACTGAACCTTTAAGGGGCTAAAATATCCCTGTCCTGATTGAGCAAGGTAAGATCACATTGCAAAATTGAACCGCAATGTATTTACATTACTTACTTAAGTTTTTTAAATGACCTTTTCTTTATTTTTTTGGGAATATTTTCGTAGTTGCAATGTTAAAATTGTTATTCCAATGGCATAAACAAAAATTTGAAAATCATTTAAAATTTGTTTTGTTGTTCATTGGGCATGACATTTAGCCCCTTGTGGGGAAATTCCGAAAATTAATTGCAAGAAACACATGCGGATTTAGTGGAGTTGGCACCCCAAAGGGAGCTACATGTATGGTATTTGCATATACTTTTTAATGTACTATTCTTAACTTTGCCTAGTGTAAGCCCTTCCTTTCAAAATCCTGGATCCGCGTTTGAGAATCAAACTCTGTCTTCAACAAACATCCTTCTTTAGTTTGGTAGGAACATTCCCATTGTTAAGACAACAAAGTGTTAAAAGATGGTCACCCCTACCTCTTCCTCTAACACTAATACATAAATCAGGAAGGGTTAAATACACAGACACTTGTTTTTGAAAAAATAATTACCTTATACCTACCGTGTTATATTTAACACATAGGTCATTCAATTTGTCAGAGACACGTGCTTTGGATTTACTATTAAGAATTAAGAATAGAGGACGTTTTGTGCTTGATACTTAAGTTACCTATATCAGTAGTCCAAATAATTATGACGTCTTGTAAGGCTATTTTATTTTTTTGCTTTGACGCCTTACTGTAAGGCGTCAAAGCAAAAAAATAAAATAGCCTTACAAGACGTCATAATTATTTGGACTACTATATCAGAGTAAAACAACAAGCTGAATATGAAAAAAAGACTTAACATGGTGAGGTGTTAGAAATTCTTCCAGGACTAATGACACTTTTCCAGTTCTAAGTAGTGAACGTGCAGAGCGTCAAACGGGAATTTCGGCTACGTGTACACTTTGACTTGAGTATTTTCTAAGTAAAGGTGACAAAAACATCATAATGGGTGGTATTTTTGATTTTAATGAAATTTTGTATGCATTTACAAAATGTAGAATGTGTTGACCTGTATCATACATATAAAAAGCCTTATACTTTCAGAATTTTCCAGATATATATACAATTTGTCCTACGCACTGGTCTGACCTAGGATGTTGTTTCCCTTTTCAAAATATTCTAAAATTGAAAACAAAGTCGGTAATAGAAAATGGAACCATTCTTTAGAATGTGTTTTCAGAGAGTAAACTGGAAACCGCGTATATTTACGCTACACTTAAACGTCAACCGTACCCTGCCCAATCTTGTAACTGGAGATTTTTAAAACGAGTTCTGTGCCACAGGGCCGATTATCGGCCCAAAGTCGTTCTCCTTTCAGTGCCAAAGGGACGATTCAGTGGCGGATCCAGAAATTTTCTTAAGTGGGGGCCCACTGACTGCCTAAGAGGGGGCCCACTCCAGTCATGCTTCAGTGATTCATTATATAATCAACCAAATTTTTCCCACAAAAAGGGGGGGGGCGGGCACCCTGCCCCCCCCCCCCCCCCCCCCCTAAATCCGCCTCTGCGATTCATCGGCCACTATTCAAATGGTGTGATGAAAGTTCTACGTAATGTACTAAAATCAAATCAAATCAAATCTACTTTGTTGGTGTAAAATCCAAAATGTTGCAATAGTGAAAGTAAAATTACAGTATTAATGATATTCTTATAAAATATAACAAAACAAAAATATATGTAATAAAAAAAGAAAAATAGAAAATAATCACAAATTTGTATTACATAATTAGTTCTTCTTGTCAGCTAGGCTATTTCTTAGTACATGTAAATCATTAACCCCTTTAACAATAAATGTAAAGTTTTCCTCATTAGACATTTTGTTGAAAGATGGGACTATACTCTCTACTACCTGAAAAAGTTTTGCCTGTGTTTTTCTAAAATTTGACATTTTAAAGCAAAATGATATTGATCTTCAACCCCCTTTTGACAGAGGGGACATAATCTTTTTTCAATGGATAATTTACGATGCCCACCCTGTTCAATATTTAGATTGCTATTACTTAATCTTATTTTAATAAAATTAGATATCATGTATCTGTCTAAATCTATTAATAAAAAAATTTCTAATTTATTATCTTTTTTTAATTTTCTGTACGTTCTTAGTTTGTTTCCATTAGGGTTATTTTGGTCATTAAAAAAGATCTAGAAATCTATATATCTTTCAGCTAATTTGGTCCTTACAGCATTAATCAGGCATTTTTTTGAGAAATATTTTGATTTTCCCATACATGAGTGAACCCTATTTTTGAAAGAACCTTTTTCAATTTGGCTGCAAAGCCATTATGGAAATTTAAACTACATTTATAGGCATTTAAAGCACAACTTTCTTCATTTGCATTTATCAAATGGCACCAAAACCCCACAGAAGCCTGTGAAGCATCAATAGCAATAGGTAACATACCTATTTCTGCTAAAACTGCGGTGTTAACTGAAACTTTATTTACACAAACAAGATATTTAGAAATTCTGATGGCAAAATTGATAAATATCTATATTCAAGACTTGGATTGTCTTTAATTATCATATCAAGTGCCCCTATTTCACTGCAATAAAGTAGTATAGGTTTGAAACAACTTTCATACAGTTTTAAATGTGGATAAATATTAAGTTTATCAGAGAATAAAAGCTATGACTATACATGTAGGTACCAAAGGCACTCACTGGAAAACCCATGGCAAAGAAGTTTGCAAAAACAAATTATAGTTATACCTGAATATGTCTGTCTGACAATGTTACTTGGCCGTGACATCATTTTCATAGCTATGACGTCGCAGTTTTTGCTCTAAAATTAATTCCAGTCTCGAAATTTTAGCGCGCTTTTTTACCAATATTAAAAAATACGGAAGTCGAGCTTTTTTTATGAAAATTATGAAATTAAAATTATGTAAGGATTCCTTAATAAAATTTTACTGGTGTAAATTTTAGATGTATTAAGTCTTAAATTCACTCTCTTTTTAAGGCGCTTTTGTGGTATGCACATTAGGCTTACTTTCCTAAAGTTATAAAGTTACCAAGGGATTTACTTTAAAAAATATATATAAATGTAAGTAAAAATGTAAATACATAAAATATAGAGATAGAAATTAATCAAATAAGAACAAAATACCTTAACAAAGAAAGTTTGAGAATAAAACGCAATTGAAAAAATAATAAAAAAAAAAAAACAGCAAACACGTGAAAAGATGAAAAGTATTCATTAATGACTTTATTGATCTAATGACGTCATCCATTAACGTATCCATCGGATCATGGCTGATCCTTATCTTTGGTTTCGAGTTTATCCTCCTGAAGTTAGGGATCACAAAGAACTTAACCAGAATGTAGGACCTAAAAGAATGCCGCAGAGAAAGTCCAGACATATTGCCTAT